GATTACCATCATTGCATTTGCCATGTTATTCGTGCCATTTCGACTTTGCTGGCTTTTGACGGCGGATGACAGCTTGCTGATTTCGGCACCAGCAGCTTGGCAAGAACACGGGCTGGAGATAAGGTAGCCAACCGACTGCAAGGCGAGAAGTGGGCTCATCCCCTACTCCTCTTAACCTTGGTTCGTCCTGGATGCTTCTAAGAATCGAACTGGTCAGAATTCTTCTCTTCCGCTGCACCTCGCATGAACCCTGAACGCCAAACCGGTGCTACAGAGGGCGCCCTGAGGTATGTCGCCGTAGTCGCTTCACGCCAGAATCTGCAGTATGCTGCACGAGTACACATGAGTCTAACCCGAAGCAAATGAATCGCATGGTTCCTGACATTGCAACAGGCGCTGCATAAGTAACTGCACATATACGTGTGCCCGGATGTTGCCTCCCTCGCTGACTGCAGGTACTGGTGGAGTTGTGCTTCGTTGTGGCTTGCAGCCGTGCCCGCGGATTCGTGGTTAGTTCATGGCAGCTTTTCTTACGGCTCGTAGCTGGAGCAACACATGTAGCTACAGCATTTAGTGCGTGCGTGGTCTGCCCTCTTAGAAGTGGCTAGAACCTGTAAGCCCTAAACCCTAAACCCTAAACCCTAGACCCCTTAGAAAAGGGCCTGACATTGGGCCTAGACCCCTGGAGGCAGCCCCGGGCCTCCTCTCCATACGCTCACCCCCGTTTAGCTCAAAAGGCTTTACCCATAGACCCCCGTTTTTTTTTGGCATTACCTAAGAGGATCCTAAATACAAGCCACAAAAAGGAACTACTATGGGGCCTACACGGGTAGGTTCACCCTCAGGCTTTTGCGTTTTGGCCAGTTTCTTTGGTACACCTTGTGTTGCGGGCGCGCCTACCATGCGGGCTAGCCCAAGTGGCCGTAGGTAGTTTGCAATCTTCCGCTCCAGGCTACTCCTGCGGAAGCACCTTCAGCCGGTGTTTCTTGTTCCGATAGGAATCACAACCAGGGCTACTACGCACCATCTTGAAAGGAGGGGTACACATGATCACCTGATTGTGCTGGTACTTTCATACACAGTCCTCCACCGTGCCGTCCCTGTCACTGAATCCTCTTTATTCGGACCTTTAAGGGGTCCTTGCAAATGTCAGTTTAGAGATCAAAGGGCTCCAATGTGGATGCCGGCCACGAGCATACTACCCTCACTTGATCAGGAATAGAGGGGCCTTAATAATTAGAATAGGTCTTTGGGGCCCATTATACTACAATTAGAATAAGGAACCTCCAGAATAGTATAGGTAACTATTTTGGCCCCTACATTAGCAGGTAGCACGTTGTGCAGAAGAACAGGACTCCTCAGCACATCGTTATCTCGGACGGCCGCGGAAAGTATGCAGCAGCTCAGCATCCGCAGTGTCGACAGTGTCCGCTCTGAGAACTTGAAGCAGGACATGCTGATGATGGCTGTCCTAAGTTCTGGCGTTTCTTTGGACAAGAGCCTGTCTAGTCAGGAACCTAACTGCGCCATGATTAAATACAATGCCTGGATTGCACATCAGGTAAAACGCTCTTTGTTTACCGACGATCACCCTTTTGCGTACCATCCGTCCACCATGAAGCCTGTAGCTACCATTCCCTTGTTCAGAAGAGCATTGACGACGACACAGAGTCCGTCGACGACTTCTTCAGCATCTGAGCGGACCACAGCGGGCCGGAGGTCATGATAAGCAAAGATATAGGTAGACTGAGACCCGCCTTCGTGGTTCTTGTGATGATAGCCCAGCTTTCTTGTCGCAGTCATAGCCAAGCGGAAAGCTGTTAGAGGGAACGTGTCAGTCTAGCCGCTAGAAAGGTTTTCCACCTGCACCATTGCGCACGAAGTGTCTCGCTGAGCGAGCGCTGACTGCCGGGATATTCCTGTCACAGCCTACATGCTCCGCATGCCTTGTCGATCATGTCTCTGCGAGTGATCTTGCTCTTGCTACTAAACCCTAAACCCTAAACCAAAAACCCTAAAAACCCTAAACCCTAAACCCAACATAAATGTACTACAGTCCTTGTGCGTAGAGATCCGGAAAGGTGTCGGAGGTCGGAGTTGCCCGTTGATGTGTTTTAGCCCGGGAAGCCCAGAATGGGTGCCTGCACCAAACTCATGAGCGCATGAAGTTTTCAACGTTTATGCTTGGAGGCCCTTTTGACTTAGTAAGTAGGGTTAGTAAGGTGGGTTATGGGGATTATAAGAGGGTTTCTGGGGGATACTAAGTAGACTTACTAAGTCAAAGGGGCCTCCAAGTGGAGAAGGCTGACTTGTTCGGCGTTGACATCACTTTCACTCTAGCTTGTGAGGTTGAAGATGTTGCATGCCAATGTATTGAAACGAACTTTCCGGCTTCATCGAAAGCTGTGTAGTTTTGCTCTAGACTTCACAGCAACACTTGTTGCCCTTTGGCAGTTCTCCTTGACCGTTAATCAATAAATGCTGTTGTGTTGGGAGAGCAGCACGCTCTTGTTGTTGTTGTCGTTGTTGGTGCTGGTGGTTTTGGTGCTATAGTGCTGGTGCTGGTGGCGTTCATGTTGCTGTTGCCGGAGATGCTGGTGCTAGTCGGGGGTGTTGTTGTTGTGGTGGTGGTGGTGGTGGTGGAAAGGTGCAAGTAATATTTAGGCGCCAAAATAATTACCCATACTATTTTGGGGGTTTCCTTTAAATTAGGTATAGTACAGCATACCCCAGAACCCTATTCTAATTATTCAGGCCCGTACATTGTGTGCAGTTGTTGTAATTGTAACCCACTTGGAAGTGTCCGCTATCGATTCGCCATCGTCAGGCCTTCGCAAACTCGAGGAGAGAGAAGTCCCTCGCTTTAGTCGCACACAGACCGTTTAGGGTTTAGGCTTTAGGGNNAGGGTTTAGAGTTTAGGGTTAGGGAGTATGACTGAGTTGTTTAAGAATCGCCATGGCGTCACGTCCGCCTTCGTCTCTGCTGCAACATAGCTTGCGGCTTTCAACAGTTCTCAAAATGCCTGGTATTTAACTGCGCAGACAGGGCGCAGACCCGAAATGCGAGGAGTCTTCGCGGCAGTTCTATAGTATCTGTGCATGTCATTGCCTCGAAGACGTTTACTTCAGCCTTTTCAATTGCTTTGCCAACAGATTCGGGTTTCCACCCCCAAAGCATCCCATGCGGCTCAACGGTATCTTGTCGTAGCAGTGGTAGTAGTAGTAGT